AATGCAAGGAGTTAAACAAATCATCACATATCTAGTGCTACCATATAATGGCATATGAACAAAGAATAACACAGCAACAAACCATACAAGGTAACATCAAATTGTAAGTTCTATGCTACCTTCCCTCAAGCTTGGATTTTTGGTGTCTCATTCTTCCTCTTGATTCTCTTTATATCCTTGTCTAATGCCTATCAATTAAGCATAAGGATACTTCACATTACCACTTAAATCAATATAAAATATTAATTCATGCACTTTAACCCATTTTCTTTAGTTTTTTGAGCCATTTCTTCCTCTTTGTTTTTACTAACTTTCTTAGGTCATTCTTACACAATTTTGCATGTAGAATTCATATATTCATTTAGTATTAACAAAATCCATCTCCTCCCTATCAAACCATGCTTGGCCGAAAGTTATAAGGTTTAGGGGTTCAAAATTGTATTTTCAATTTCAATTTCAATTCTTCCAAATACTTTTCCTTGGTGTTTCCCTACACAAAATCACATTCTAAACACAATGGAGGTATCAAATCAACTCTAATCAAATCCTAATCCTAATTTTCAGCATTGGTCGAAACATGCTCTAGTGTTAGGGAGTTGGATTTTTCTTTCAGAATCAAACATAGAGGTTAATTTTCCTACTCTTTCTAATCCATTCAACCTTCTCCTATAATTTCAAAATTTTGCAGCAGCATACCAAGGGGAGTTTGTCATCAAAACCCATCCAAAACTTGTTCTAACTATGCCAAATAACTTCCCTAATTGAAGCTTAGGCTTACCTTGACAGAGCTCTTGAATTTTCTTAAGGTTTCTTGTTCTTGAACTTGCTTTCTTCCTCTTACTTTTTAGCAAACTTGGTGACAAAACCTTCCCCCATTAAGTCTCCTAAAATGGCTAGATTGTGTATCTTGAGGGGGTATTTATAGACAAATTTTTGACCCCTACTTTCTCTCTTTTGCCCATGAAAAACTACTAATTCCCTTGCTTATTCGTCACTCCAAAAATCTGCCTTAACTTGATTTTGCCAAGTGTCTTACCAAATGTATGGTTATGATTTAAATGATATGTTAAAACTTATTATTTTAATCTCTCTTTCAACAACAAAACACACAATTTCCCCCATGTCCTATATACCAAAATGGCACCATATAGCAACCAAAAAAAAAGGGAGAAATTGCCTCCCCATAGATTATTAACATTCCCCTGTTCAAGTGTCCTATATCAAATGAATTTTTCCTGAATCCTGTATGATCCAGTGCTTCCAAAAATTTGTCTCTCTGCACCAAAATCTTCCTTTTAGTATAGGGATGTTCCGTGATTTTTCTTAGATTTAAAATTTTCCTACAATTTTTTATATTCAGATTTTTCCCCAAAATCGGTGTTTTACCGACAAGAATTCAAGTTTAAAATATCTTAAAATTAACCTCTTCACTTTCTGAGGCTGGGAATAATTTTATAATCTATAATAGCCCTTCAAATAATTTTTTCATATTTTTTCAAAATCATGGAGGCCTCTAACTATTTTAAATAATTAATTTTGTCTACCTTTACATTGTTTAACCAAAAATATCCTAAAATACAGAAAATTATGTATTAATTTTTTTTATTCTTTTAACATTTTCAAAATCTTAAACACTATTCTAGAACCTCTATTCTATTTTCTATGATTTTTCAGGAATTGTTTTAGAATTTTAGGCTTAATTTCCCAGTCTGTCCTGTCTTGACTGGATATTTTGAAAATAACAGTTCAGTCTCTGTTTAATTTCAGTTCAAAAGTTGTTACGTCTATTTGTCTACTATATTGCCTGACCCTTAGTCTATTTTATATTCTCTATTTTTAGAGTTAAAATTAATAGGATGTGACATCTTGCACCTTGCCTTCCTTCTTTTCTCTCTTCAAATTTTAGTTTCCCATTTTCTCATTCACCCTTGGCTGAAAATGCCACAAGGTTAGGAGGAAGAGAGGTATTTATAATAGGTAAGCTTACACAAATCCTTAAACTTGCCTAAAATTATCATGATGATGTGTCAAGCCAAGAAGTTCTCCTAAAATGCTCCTAAAAAGCCTAAGATTAAGGGAAGGTAGGATAATGGAAAAAGAATATTTAGTTAGACTTTGAGTTGATTTTGGTGATGCCACATGAAGGAAATCCCACCAAAACTTGATTTTGTGTCACTTCATCAAATACATGGTCTTGAAGAGTTATTCCTCCAATCTTAGCTAATGAGTAATGCCATTTTGGAGAGGAAAAAGAGGGAACAAGTTTAAGATTTAAATCTCCCATATGCATATAATATGCCTTGTCATATAGCCCACAATTTTGGCTCTTATATTGTTATTTCCCTCTTTTCATGACCTAAAACCTTCACATCATCACTCAATAAGGTATGGGAGGTTCATTAAATGGCTGACATAATAGGGAATTAGTGCTTCATAAGAGGGGATAGATCTTGGTCAACATGAGGTTTGTGTCTTGTCACATTTAGTCACTTATTTTCAAGGTAAAAGAAACCAGACCGGATTGGTCAATTCAACCACAAAATCGGAGAACCGATCTCCAGTCTAGTTAGGATTGCTTGTTGAATAGAGATGAAATGAACTGGTGACAAATCGGTTCAACCAGTAAAAACTGGTGTTAAATCGGGTAACCACCGGTTAGGTTGGGTTACTTTGTTTAAATTTTTTGCCTCCTAAAAATGAACAAAGTGGAAAAGGAGAAGAAGGTTTACGGAGAATAGAAGAAGAAGGGAGAGGAAGAGAAAAAAATAGAGAGATAAATGCCAAACAAACCTTACTATGAGAGAAAACTCCTGAATATGCTAAAAAAATAAGTGAAGAAGCATTGTAGTGTGGAAATTAAAAAGCATGGAAGAAGGATAAGAAGGTGATTCAAGGCTTCACCATGGGCCTAATTTGTTGTTAAAGCTCTGTGAGGAAAATTAAGAGAGAGAGAGAGAGGAGAAAGAGGAGACTGAAATACAATAAAAGAACATGTGAGGGTAAAAGATTTAAATTAAAAATTAGAAAGAGAAAAGGCATTAATAATACCGGAGACTGTGAGAAAATGTGTCGTAGTCTTGTAGACCTCAAGTCCATCACCGTCCCATCATAGTTTTATTTATCATTCAATTGTATATATCTAAATTTTATTTATTAAATTGCTATTATTAACTCTGGTCTAACTCCGATCTGACTCACTAATCTTTAACTCATTGTCTTAACTGGTTTAATAACTGGTCTGATTTTTTTGTTCATAGTTTATTTTCACAACTTTTTCCAAAAACTCTTTTTGGTCCAGATCTGTATTTCCAATTTTGCTCATGGACTCCAAAATATTCTCCTCCATGTCAGATTAGTCCACCAAAATTTTCAAGCCCAAACTTCGCCCACATATTTTTTTCCCCTTAATTTTTCAAGAAGAAGCCCACCTTAGGTGAAATTCCACAATAATTATTTCTAAATATAAATGCCTCATATCTTGATCGCCAAATCAATTTTATAAGTTGAATCCCACTCTAAAATAATTATTCCACATTTTTCTAAATTTTTGGAGATCTTCTAATATTCTAAATAATTAAATCTAAAAAATTAATTAAAAATTAATTTTAGGGGTATCTTTTTTAATCCTCAAAAGGGACTGTCCACCTCATTTTTATTTTCTGAAAATTCTATAAAATTTGGGATATATTTTTCAAAATTACCCTTTTCCCCAAAACTTTTTGTAATTACAATTCGCCACTGGTGGGTGCGGCCCCACAAATTATCCTCTTTGGGTCTCCAAACATTCACTTGGGTTGATTTTACATATTATAACTAAAGTAGACGAAACTATTTCTATATGAAATGTTCTGATTCTACACCCTAGTGCAAAGTAACATTAGAATTCACAATTTCGAAGCTTAACCCATCATCTTTTATTAAACACAACAACTTACAACTCAAAACCAAAATACAATAGTGGAAGGCGACTGTAGACTCTGACTAACAAATACTACCTCCGTTCCTAATTATAAGAGCCAGTTGACTAATTTAAGGATATTAAGGAAGTAATTAAATTAGTTATTTATAATAAATAAGTATTATTTTTCCTAAAATATCCTTACTAATCAATTTTATTGGTTAGAACTATCATTATTAAAGGGACTACTTTGGGAAAAAAATACATAAATATGAGAGACAACGTGGATTGGAGTTTTATAATTAGGACCAAAATAAAAATCAAACAAGGTCTTATATTAAAGATCGGACGTAGTATATAATAATCAGCAAAAGGTTTAGCCCATCAGTATCCTCTAAAATTGCCTGATGTTCCAGACCTACACTCCTGAAGAACTTAACCTGGCTTTTTCCTTGTGGAATAGGGTAAGATTAAATAAGCGGAAAAAACATGTCCACAAACTAAACTTCCATCAGATTTTCGTTCATCACTACTAAAAGATCTTCCCATTAGGACAGAACCAAGCGGCAAAAGGCAGGACCGTGAGGGAGGCAAGCAATGAAATGAGAAGCAAGAGTAAGAAGCAGAGCGCGCGGAGGTGAGAGACAATAGTGAGGCATCTTGAACAGTGATGGAATGGGACTGGAGCTTTTGGTGTTGAAAAAGAATGCTTGGTTGAAGTCGGAAAGGTTATATAGATCTAGTGGATATTTGAAGGAAAAGGAGAGGGTATAGTGCAGAGACGATTGGCAAAGACAAAGAAAGAGATAAGGATCGCGAATAAGGAGAAGGAGGTCAACGGTGGTGGCAAAAGAACGCTGGAGGCAATATTATGAGGAGAGCTTGCAACAAAAGGGTAAGGGATAAAGAGATCAAATCCTTCTATAGTCGTTTTTTAATCTAAGGACAACTTGATAATTTCACGTATAGAGCCTCTCATGCTCAAGTTTCTCGGAACGTCTTATTAATTACCCTTAAACCTCGCGCGCGGGTCGGGTCATGCTAAACCCCTTTCCGGTATCTTTCATTGCGGCCTCACAAATCTTGCTTCGAAATTCGGGTCTACTCTTACGGCCTTCGCCTACTCCATTGAAGCAGCTTCAGCTCAGCTCTGTAAGTTTGTAGCTTCTGATTTCAGCTTCATTACGGTTACTTTTCATCCGATTATTCTCCTGTTCATCTCCCGAGAGACCAAGATAAAAGTATCAGAATGGAGTTGCTTTTATTTGAACATTTTCATTTTCAACTTTTTTTAGGTTTTAATAACAAAGTAATGATTCTTTAGGTTGAAGATTATTGGTTGTCTGTTGTTATGGCTTTCTCTGGAGGTGCAAGACGGCTTTGTATAAAGCTTTCACTGGTTAACAGTAGTGGTTATGGGCGGCATTTTACTACTTCGACCTGCAAAAGAGCTTCGTCTGAAACATCATTTATTTCTGGCGACGCCAATTCGCAATTGGGTATAGGAATTTTTCTCAGACGGTTCAGCATCGCTGCTTCAGACCAAACGAATCTTATAAAGCAACTGAGAGAAAGAACAAGTGCTCCTATCAAAGACGTTAAAGCAGCTCTAGTTGATTCCAATTGGGACATCGGTAATGGACTCCCCCTCAGACCTTTACATATTATTTGTGCTGCTTTTCGCTCTTATTAATGAGTCGTTGCCAAGTTTCATGGCTTGAAATTTTGATTTATTTTTGGCTCCAAGTGGGAGTCGAAGATCATTTATCGTATTGAGCCAAAGATTATTGGATGTAGCTTGTAAAATTGAAAATTGACAACTTGAAAATGCAGAACTGGCTCAGAAGGAACTGAGGAAGAGGGGAAAGGTTCTCGCTTCAAAAAAGTCCTCTCGAACTGCTGCAGAAGGTTTGCTTGCCCTGGCCCAAAATGAGAACAAGACTGCTGTTATTGAACTTAACTGCGAAACTGACTTTGTTGCTAGAAACGAGATCTTTCAGTTCTTGGTTAGTTTTTTTGGCCTGATGTTCTTGTTTAGTTAAGCTATGTCCTATTTGTGTTCAAATATATGAATAGTGAACAAACTCGCTATGAGCTCTTCTCATGTATTACCTTCATTCATTAATATAAAAGTTAGTTAACTAATTTGAGTAAATTAGTTAAATTAGTTATTTGTAATAAATCGGCGTTATTTTCCCTAAAATACTCTTGCTAATTAAGTGTTATTTGATGAAACATTCAACATATACAATTACTGCAAGGATTACTTTGGGAAAAATGGATAAATATGAGAGAAAAAATAGATTGGGGTCTTATATTGAGGATCAATTTAAAAGTCAAATTAGTTTTTATATTAAAGATCAGAGGTAGTATATTCTTTCTATTCCCCATTATAGAGTTCTTCCTGTATTTGCTTGTAATTTTGCAATCTTGTCATCTTTGTAGGCATTGTCTTTGGCAAAGCAAGCTTTGTTGGTTGAAAATGCTTCTCAGCAGGCTTCTTGTGGCTTTCAAGTTGGACCAGAATCTTTGGAGGTAAATTGATTGATATTTTCCTCAGCTTACGCCAATAGTGATTCTAATGTTGATCCCATGCTTATAGGACTTCTTCCTAGGTCTTTATCTTCTATCTCATTCACATCTTATTTTGAGAATAATGTGCACATACATGCACGAATTTGTGCATCTGTAGAGAGATCAATTGACACCAGAGTCGGATGTGAGACTTTTCAACCTTTTCAGAATTAACCATAGGATGTGATTATCATTGATTCAGCTAGAAGTAATTACTTTGTGAATCTTTCTTGTCAAAATTTATTAAATATTATATTTTGAAGCTTATAAACAAATAGCTTGAAGCTTTTGTATTTGAAATATATTTTGTTCATTAATTTCTAGATTATAACTGATGGTGTATATAATAATTTTGGATACATATTAAATTTTGTGGGATGATTTTCATGATGAGAAGAATTAATTTAATGTGGGTTTTGCTATACATTTATTCTATATATATCTATAAATAATTATTTTGATTGGCCCTATAAAGAGTAAATTAGTTTATTGTAAGATGACATTTTTTCTTTCATGTCTTTCTACATCTCTAGTAAAATGAATTTGTTGTAGATCTGTATTTATGTCATGGTTTCACCAGAACATGGTGTTGCATCTTGAGCATCCAAAGATCAGTGGAGAGACAACTGTTCAAGGTGCAATCACTGAAGTGGCTGCAATAATGGGAGAGAATGTAAAACTTAGAAGAGGCTTTGTGATGTCAACACCATCTCAGGGTGTTATATCTACATACCTCCATACCAGTCCCCAACCATGTGAGTTAACTTTAATTGAGTTATTTTGTTTTATTTATGCATTTATCAGCACACTGCTACAGCCCATACACTGAAACAATAGTCGTGAAATTAACCATTACTATTTTCTGCTACAAAATCTTGTTTTAAGTGGCTAATTCTTTGCAATTCCCGGAATCTTATGAAGCTAAGGATCTTGACTTGCTTTCTGCTAACAATAGGTTTGGGTCGCATTGCTGGAATTTTGTCTCTTGAAGTAGGTGATATTAAAACTCAACTGGATGCAATTCAGCGGGTAGGATCAGAATTGGCCATGCATGTAGTGGCAGCAAAACCATTATTCCTATCAAAGGAACTTGTTTCTTCTGAAGCATTAGAGAATGAGCGTGAAATTCTTAAATCTCAGGTACTCTGTCATTTCTATGAGTTATGTTTGAGAACTTGGGTACATGCTCAACATATTAAATAAGTTGCTGAAACAAATTTGGATAAATATTTTCATCTATTTGTTAATTTTTTATTTATCCTCAAGCTTTCAGACTAAATTAAGCATAATTGTTGCATAAATAAGCCTGGGCTTGGGTTCTTACGTTTAGACAGTACTCTGAATATCCATTATTCATTCAAATTATTGTAAAATTTGTGGTTATGTGAATGAGCCTTGCTCGGCTATGAATTGTTCTGTCCTACTTTAAATTTCGTCTCTTTTATTATAATTACTTCGATGCAGCTGACCTTATACTAACTTCACCAAGAAGTCCTTGTTTCGTTTGGGGGAAGGCAGTTTCAAGGGGAAGACGAATCAGTTAACATGGCTTGGGTGATTTGAGCTGGCTTATTATTTGCTGTGGGTGCTTCGTGCCTTGAACCTTACAGTTTGGTTTTGGTCTGGTTCACTTTCCTCCTTTGTGATATTTAACTGAACCTAGTAGCTAATTCCAATTTCTAACAATTAAACCAAAGCACCTGAAGTATTGGTATGAATTCACAGAAAGCATGTCATGTCAAAAATAAAGTTTTAATAAGTCTCTTTAACTCAGACCTAGTGTACCGACCACTAGAATAATAAGTCCCCTTTTCATGGTTGTCATACTTGTGAATCTGAGTTAACTTGTGAGGTTTGAGCGAGCTCATGGCAAGCTTGTAAAGTCAGCTTGTAAGCTCATGTTATAAACTCTGAAAGAGTTTGCAGCTATTATTTACGAGCTAATAAAAGTTATTCAGTATGACTCAGAAGGCATAAACTCTTTATAAAATGAAAAAATAATCATTAATATGATCATATCACTTGTGCAGGCTATTGGTTCAGAACCAAGAATATCAAATCCTTAATACTCTATGGCTGGACGGCTAAAGATTTATTTACATTGAGATAATAAATGATACTACCTCTGGTCTTTAATATAAGACCTTATTTGACTTTCATTTTGGTCTTAAATATAAGACCCAATCCACTTTGTCTCTAATATTTATACATTTTTTCCAAAAACGTCCTTCTAATAATAATAGTTTTAACCAACACATTTGATTAGCAAGGATATTTTAGAAAAAAACAACACATATTCATTACAAATAATAACTAACTTATTTTCTTAATCTCTTCATATTAGTCAACTAACTCTTATAATTAGGACCGGAGGTAGTAATAGTCATCAATGGTTTTAGTTCTTTTCATCATGGTCCTTTTTTTTTTTTTTTTTTTTGGTGAACCTTTTCATCATGGTCTTTAATTCTATTCAGTCTTGTATCTTTCATGTCCTTGCTCTGCATTGCAAGCATATTCATGCAGCTTTTGGGGTAACATCTCTTGCCCCTGAAAATATGCACCCCCTCCGGTCCCTATTATAAGGCAGTGTTTAGAAGTAAGTGGTCATTATTATGAGTCCCCAAATAGGATATTAGTTACATTTTTTCAAAATGATCCCTATTTAAAGTTTGATGCAATTTTTTGCCTTTCAAGATGTAATTCATGGTTTTAAAGATGATTAAATTTGAGAAATTTTTCATTTTCAAGCAAATTTAATGACTTAACCGCCTCACCTCTCTGGAGAGGTTGGTGTTGGAGGTGCTTTATAATAGGGATCAGAGGGAGTTAATAAAATCGGTGGAATTTGGCTTTCAGCAGCTGGACTTAAGTTGAGAAGTGAAATCTTGGGAAATCTAAACTATATTCTGGGAGAGAGGGAATGATGAATATGACAGAAACCTTATTGATTCTATCATATATTGATACTTTTCGGCTTCAACAACCTATTTATGGAGAAAGTTTAGGAGGAATAACCTGGATATTTTATCATAATCACTGCTAAACATAATATGACCACTCAATCTAATCAAAATTTCAGAATGACATTCCTTGGTGAGCAAATCAGTGATTGATTGCAGTAGTGAACGTTATTGTACCATGATGAATAGCTGAGCAAATCAGTCCATAGTTCTTTGGATTGAGTGGGCAAAAATTTTATTCTTCAATCTGAGTCGCCCATCTGCAGAACAAATAATAAATAGTTAAGTAAACATGTGTGCTAAATGTCTCTCTCAGATAGATTTCTAACAAGTTGGAGTGCCAATTAATGGGTTATAGTCCTAACTCCTAATTAGTGAAGCGAAGGGAGCAAGGACTCAAGAACTTCAATTCATACAGTATAATAACTTTCAGTTAATGATAAAAACTAGTTTATAGGAGAAGCAGAAACAATTGGTGCAGTTGTCACTTCAACTGAGGCTTATAACAAATCTGAGTAGAATATTGTTACTCAATTCAATTCTAAAGCTTCAATTGAATATCTAATAAAATTTCTTGAATATCAAGTTTGCCTAGAATTTTTGTGTTCAGAACTCAAGGTAAAGTTTTCAGCAAATTCTGCTCATGGCATTCTTCTTTAGTCATTTGATGCAATCTGTGATATATTTATCCAATTTTTGGCTTTCTAAATTTTGACATGTCACTTTCTTTACCCTATTTCAAAACATCTGTGTTCAAATTTTATCGGGTTAGGCCTTTAACATTTCAGGCTGAAGCCTCTGGGAAGCCTCAGATTGCCATAGACAAGATGGTAGAAGGACGTTTGCGTAAATATTTTGAGGAAGTTGTGCTTCTGGAGCAGAAGTTTATCATAAATGATGCTATGAATGTAAAGGTATGCAAGGTTCCACTGCATCAAGTCTCTTTAATAAGTGAAAAAGTTAATATTATGATGACAATAATTTATTGTTCAGTATAATGATTTTGATTGGTGAAAGAAAGAAATTCTCTACACATGTGGGTGGGCCAGAAAAATCAGTCTGCTCCCTTGTATAATAAATTAATGAGGGAAAGATGCCGTTAGACTCTGGTAATAAGCATTTGGCCAAAATGTAAAGAACTCTTTTCAAGTTAGTGGGTTATGCAATTTACTCCCTTCAACTTTAAAAGTCTTACCAAAGGCCCAAACTTTCAGTTTTATCCTTCTGCTCACTTTCCCTCTGCCAACTTTTATAGCCACATGAAGACTTTTCTTATAGCCACATGAGGAGTTTTCTTTGTATGTTGGCCTAGTCATTTGCATTTTAGCTGCAGGTATCTCTCATTCATGGTCAAAGTATGGCATTAGGGGATTAAATGGTGATTTTTATAATTCAAGTTGTTTGCAGTGTGGTACTATTGTTGCTAAGTGTTGGGAGAAAATATTGCTGTAGCTTTGTAATAAGGTTTTGAAACACAAAGAAAACTTATGCTGGAAGATTCTGATTAGTTTTGTTTTTCAGGGATTTGCATAGCCTAGATCAAGGGATCTTGCCAAAGATTTTCTGCAATATGCATAGTAATTTTAGTCATGATTGATTATTGATTTTTGTAGCTATTACGAAACTCTGATGAGAAGAATTTGGATTAAAGTTAGCATACCAGTCTTAAAATAGGTATATTGTATGTTTCTGGTGGATGCAAAAATTCTTAATAATGATAGACTGACATCAATATCAATACCAAGTTTTCAGTGCTAGAGGTTGATGTAACAACTGAAAA